CTCCTCCTCCTCCTCCTCCTCCTCCTCCTCCTCCTCCTCCTCCTCCTCCTGCTCCTCTTGGGACACCCCCCTAAGTGAGGAAAGAGCCAGCAAACCGAGGAAACTCAACCCCCTAACCGAGGAAACACCCACACCGCGGAAAACGCAAACACGCCGGGAGAAGCGCGCCCCAGCAGAAACGATGGGCCAGAAATATATGTGGCCCGTCGCGCTCTGCTGCCTCCCGCGGTCGCGGGCGCTCGCTTTGGAGCGAGCTCTATGCGCGCCCTGAAGTGTTTCTACGAGTGTTTCACGGCAGGGGCGACGGGCCAGAAATATTTGTTGGCCCGTCGCGCTCTGCTGCTTCCCGCGGTTGTGGGGTCTCGCTTTGGAGCGAGCCATAAGCGCGCCTTGTAATGCTTCTAAGCATATATCAGGGCTCGATCTGGAGCGAGCCCTAGGCGCGCCTCGGAATGCTTCTAAGCATGTCCCACGGCAGGGGCGACGGGCCAGAAATATTTGTGGCCCGTCGCGCTCTGCTGCCTCCCGCGGTCGCGGGTGCTCGATTTGGAGCGAGCCCCAGGCGCGCCTCGCAATGCTTCTAAGCATTTCTCACGGCAGGGGCGACGGGCCAGACATATTTGTGGCCCGTCGCGCTCTGCTGCCTCCCGCGGTCGCGGGCGCTCGCTTTGAAGCGAGCCATAAGCGCGCCCTGAAGTGCTTCTACGAATTTCTCACGGCAGGGGCGACGGGCCAGAAATATTTGTGGCCCGTCGCGCTCTGCTGCTTCCCGCGGTCGCGGGGTCTCGCTTTGGAGCGAGCCATAAGCGCGCCTTGTAATGCTTCTAAGCATATATCAGGGCTCGATCTTGAGCGAGCCCCAGGCGCGCCTCGGAATGCTTCTAAGCATGTCCCACGGCAGGGGCGACGGATCGCCCGTCGCTTTCGTTCCCGCCTTCCCCCCCTCCTGGCGGGAGTCGCATTGCAATTCCAGCATCATCGTCATCGGCACATCGAGTTTGGCCCAAGGTGTTTTCTGCTCTCGCACGTGCGACCGCTTTGCGCCACAGGGGCGCTGCTGGGATGCCTCATCTCGCGTCTTTTCTGACGCTCGTCTCGAACGTCACGCTCGCGACAGCCGATTGCACCTGGGTTGGCACGCGTTGGTTCAACCAGTTACTCGCCAGTTACTCGCCAGTAAGCGTCTGGGGCTCGGGCAGCGTGGCCCGCACCAGCAAGACTCCGCCGCGCCTCCGCCCTGGCCACGCCTGCACTCTGCCGACCACCCGATTCCACACGCTTGGTGAGGAACCAGCTTTCAAGTGCAACCGCTTCCTTGGAGCCCCGCATCTCCTGCCCCACCAAGATGCGATTTCACACAGTGTTCTGGCTGGCATTCGGTACGACGGTGGCTGCCGGGGCATGTTGTCCACCGGCCGAAAACACGGGAAACGGAGGGGAATACGAAAATCCACAAAAAAATGACAGTCTTGGAATATGGGATCTTCTGCCTGTTTGTTTGTGCCTCGTTCGTGCTTCCTTGCGAAAGTGTGCTCGTGCGTGCTGGGCTTCCTCCGTTCCTGCTCCCTTCGCCGCCTCTCCGTGCTCGTGCCCTGGCCTCTTGCGTGGGGCGACGTCGCGCCGCCGCTTCTCTCTCGAAGCCGTCCGCTCGACCCCCGTGGCCGCCCGCAGTGCCCGCTGCGGCGGAGAAGCTTCTGGAGGGGAAGGCTAGGCAGCAGCAGAGGCGAGCGTCGTGTGCGAAGATCGATGAAGACAACACGCCATGAACAACTTTCGGCGCTCCGCGCGGATTTCTTGGATCCGCGCTGGGCCCCCCCCGGGGCGGCGCCCCCAGCGCCGCCCCTGGCGCGCGGAGCGCGCCAGGGGGGGGGGCCCGGCGCGGAAATCCGCGCTGAGCGCCAGAAGTTTACGTTTATGTCGTTTGTTCTTGTTCTTCTAGAAGCGGTGCCCGTCCGACTTGCCCATATCCGACCTGGAGCCAGGAGCCTGGGCCCATCCTACGTGGAGTCCGTCCTGGCCAGTTCCTCGAGCCGCGTGCGGCCGTGGGCGCGAGAAGGCCCGCCCGCACCCCTCAGCAATCGCCGCTGCCGCAGGCAGGCGCGGCCGCCGTCACCATCGCCGCCGCCTCCGTCGCCGTCGCCGTCGCCGTCGTTGCCGCCACCGTAGCCGTTGCCATCGCCGCCATCTTCCGCAGTCGCTGCCGCCGTCGCCGCCGCCTCCCGTCGTTGCCGTCGTTGCCTTCGTCGTCGCAACCACCGTGGACGTCGCGTCGCCGCCGTCTTAACAATCGCCGGCTGCCGCCGCCGCGGTCGTCGTCGTCGTCGTCGTCGTCATCGTCGCCGTCGCCGTCGCCGTCGCCGTCGCCGTCGCCGTCGCCGTCGCCGTCGCCGCCGCCGCCGTCGCCGTCGCCGCCGCCGCCGCCGCCGTCGCCGTCGCCGCCGCCGCCGCCGCTGTCGTCGTCGTCGTCGTCGTCGTTGTCGTCGTCGTAGTCGCCGTCGTAGCCGTTGCCATCGCCGCCATCTTAAGCAGTCGCTGCCGCCGTCACCGCCACCTCCGTCGTTGTTGTCGTCGTCGTTGCCGTCGTTGCCTTCGTCGTCGCAACCACCGTAGACGTCGCGTCGCCGCCGTCTTAACGATCGCCGCTGCCGCCGCCGCGATCGCCGTCGCCGTCGCCGCCACCGTCAGCGTCACAGTCTATGCCGTCGTCGTCGTCGTCGCCGTCGCCGTCGTCGTCGTCGTCGTCGTCGTCGCCGTCGCCGCCGCCGCCGTCGCCGTCGCCGCCGCCGCCGTCGCCGCCGCCGCCGCCGCTGTCGTCGTCGTCGTCGTCGTCGTCGTTGTCGTCGTCGTAGTCGCCGTCGTAGACGGCGTTGGCGGCTGCTGCGGCCGCGCCGCCGCCGTCTTCGCCGCCTTCGTTGCTGGCCGCCCCGCAGAACTGGACGTGCGCATACTTCGGCGGCGACGTCCTCCGGCCCGTGCTCGCGGCAGCCGCGGGGGACGCGCGCTCGCGGCCGCCGCCCTGTGCCGTCTGTGCTGCCTCGAATGCATTTCTGCCTTTGAGGCAATTCTTCACGGTCCAGCCCGTTCAGAAACGTTGCCCGGTGAACTGACGGGAAGCGGGCGGGGCGTCCCGATGTTGATTCCCCCCCACTGGGGCCATCATCATCGCCTATAGGGGCCCTCCAGGGGAAGAGGAAGAGGAGGAGGAGGAGGAGGAGGAGGAGGAGCATAAAGAGCAGGAGGAGCAGGAAGAGGAGGATGATGACTTGGAGGAGGAGTAGGCGGAGGAGGAGGAAGAGGAGGATGAGGAGGAGGATAATGATGAGGATGAGGAATAATGATGATCATTTTGATAATGGTAAAACCATTCGTACTAACAAAATAATGCTCACACGAGTAATCAGAGGCGCAATAAGAAACAGCATAATAGCACACGTAAACAGCATTATGATACGACTAAGACGAATAATAGTCATCATAAGAAGTATACTGATACGAACACACCTATTCTTAAGTATTACAACCGCTAATATTATGAATAATGCTAATAATACGCATATCAGTATTACAATAGCAATGGTATTCGCATACAATACACACCACTTCGAATACCAATCTAAGAGTAATACTTCGAACGCTAGTCAGAACAACACGAATCATGCGAGTACCAAGAACAATAATCACAAACACATTAACACAAAGAATAAGACAACGAATAATACTACGACGATTCATAATGGTAAAACGAGTACTATGACTAATATTAATCATAATCTATAGGCTTACGCCACATCCGCCGACCCCTCTATAAACTATTGCGCCTCCAGGACTGCATTCCACGAGGCTTGTCCGAATCATGACACGGCGCTCGACATTGTTACTGTTACCTCGTGGCTGTTATCGTATTTTCCGGGACCCACGCTTCGTCCCGATCCGTTCCTTGGCGGCCCCCGGTGGGCTCCCGTTGGGATGTCCGTTGGGATCTCGTGGCGAGGATTCTCACGGGCCTCTTCGAGGCAGTTTCGAAGGGTTTTTGGGGCGGTTTGGGGGCTTCTTTTCGGCCTCATGGGGGCCTCTTGGGGCCGCTTGGGGGCCTCTTGGGTCCTCCAGAGAGCTTCGTTGGGCGGAGCCCTGGAATTCGCGGTTCGTGGTCCCTCTCTTGGGCCCTTCTTGGGGCCGTCTCGGAGCTCTCTTGGGCCGTCTAGGGCGCCTCTTGGGCCACGTT